AGGGGGCGAGCGGACGCTCTGGATCCGTCCCCTCCCCGTTGCGGGCAGGGCAGAGCCGTGTCCCGCACTAACGAGCACGAGTTGGGAGGGGGTGGCGGGGGAGCCGCTACAGGACAAAATAAATGTTTAATTAAACTCTTCCCACTGTGGAAGAGGGTTGGAAATCACTCTCTGGTCCCCTCGGCCCACGGAGGATAAAGGATTTTGCTCCCCAGCCTCTCCCTTTAGAGACTTTCCTTCTCTGCCACCTTCGCCAACAACGGGAATTTCAACCCTTTCCTTCCTGATGTTTTATTCCCTTTTCCCTGTAATCTGGGGACGGACGCTGCGGGGCTTTGATTTCATGATTCCTATGTTATCTGGGCAGAGCTCCGGTGTCCGCCCTTCTCCTGCCCGAGCTTTTATCTGAGCGGTGCTATTAAAATATTGAAACAGCGAATTGTGCCTTAAACGTTTTATCCGAGGAGAAGGAGGGTCCCTGGCCAGGGCTGCTGAGCTTCTTGGCCTCGCAGAGAGGCTACTGCTTTACTGAGGGGGCAAGGGGAGGATTTGGGGATGTATTTATTTTATTTTGCAACGGGGAGCTGGCTCTCCCCACCGAGCTGGGCGCTGAGAGTCCTACTCTCGCTCTTTCCACCTCCCCATCCCCCTCGCAGCAGCCCCCGCGTTACCCACCCCGCTTTCTTTCCCCCCATCCACTCTTCTTTCGGTTGTTTTTGGGGTTGTTTTTTTTCCCCTGTAGGCTGTAAAAAAAAAGTAATTCAGGGCTGGGAGGGAAAGTCAAGCAAATGGAGCTGTGGCTCAGCTGCCAGGTCCCTGGCTGGAGCTCGTGAAGACCCCGGCCCTCCCGGCCCCCTCTCTCTTTGACCCCCTCTGCGCTTTCCCAGAACTTACAGCAATTTCCTCTTTTATTTTGAGGGGGGAGGAGGCAGGAAAAATTCCTCTCCCCTCCCCTCCCGTGCTGTGTACATTGCTGTGATGTATTTTATTGTGTGACACGATTTCGAGGGACGTGCGGGGCAAGGTTGGGGGGGAGGCTGGG